GATAAACCCAAAATTAGCAGGTCAGACAGCAGGCTACTGGCCCATGCGGCTGAAGAAGTTGGCAAATTCCAGACTCAGCAGATCAGACAGCAGTCTACTGGCTCACAAGCCTCAGAAACTGATGAATCCCAAAATCAGCAGGTCAGACGACAGGCTGCTGGCTCAAGTCTCAAGAACCAGAGGTCAGATGATGATAAGCCAGATGCAGGATCCAGAGCAAGGGAGAGCTTTGCCAAAGCATCCATATATACTAGATGCAGGTTATTCCACCAAGAAAACTCCACTGTCATCTGATACTTGAGTAAGGGTGTGACTTGAACAGGGTTGTGACTAATGGATACACCCTACACTTATCCTGTCTCATTAACGTATAGATGTTAGGATTTACAATGAATAAAATGGAGGATAACTACATCAGATTACAAAACGGAGGATAATTACATCAGATCACAAAATGAAGAATAATTACAATCATGGCCTAGCCAAGCTGACACATAAGGTTACTTGTCAGAGTATCATGGACGTTAAGTGACACATGACTATATATCAGCATAAATAAAGCGCATGGTGTTTACCAACAACATCCAAAGAGCCAATAAACATATGAAAAGATGTTCAATTTCCAGTGTAACCAAGAAAATTTTAAAATGATATAGCATATTTTTTATCCATGTTGACAAAAATTTTCAAATTATTAATATCCAGGGTTAGTGATGGTGTTAAGAAAGAGCTACTTGCATACTTGCATGTACAGGTAGTAGAAATACAACTGGTACTGCTAACTGGGAGGACAAACTGGCATCATCATTTAAAATTTAAAAACATGCATGTCCCTATGACCCAGCAATTCTATTTCACAGATCAGCCCTATCATACATCTGTTTTAAGCAGCATTCAAAAAGAGGTTCATTACACCATGTTAGTAATAGCAAAAGCAATGGTAAATGGCTAAACAATACCCACATTGTGGAAGTCTATGCTGCGGTTTAAAAGAAAAAGAATAGATGTATGGATGGATAGATAGATATGCTAAAGTGGAATGCGATCCTAGGAATATTGAGTGAAAAGAAGCAGAAAAATATATAATAACAAAATATGGTATATATCTTATTAGAAACTAAAAACCACATGTGAAATACTATAAAATTTCTAACAGTATAATTTTTGCATGTAAATGCCTACAAAAAGGCCTAGAAGGATAAACATCCAACTTAAAAGTGTGGTTACCTACATGAGATAAATGGTAGTGGTCAAAGGAAATTTTAGCTGTAACAGAAATTTTAATATTTTTTACAAGGAGAATCATAAATTCATACGAAGAAAAAGAAACATTGTTGCTATCAGACATTTCCTTAAAGAACAGCTAAATGTAGCTCTCTGAACAGAAAAGAAATGATAACAGAAGGAGAATTGGAACATCAAAAAGGAAAGAACAATGGAATGGGTAAAATTAGGGGTAGATATGATAGATTATGCTTCTTCTCATGAGCTTCTTAAATCATATATGATGGTTGAAACAAATACCATAACATTACCTTTTGTGGTGCTCAAAAACGTAGGTAGAGCAAAAACTGAAAACAATTATTTTTAAAAAGTAGGGAGTGTAAAGGAACCTACTAAGTGCAAGTAAAGTGGTAAAACACCATTATCTGTAGGCTGTGGTTAAGTTATGTATGTAAATTTTAACATTAAGAGCATCCACTATGAAAACCATGTTGTTGTTGTTGTTAGGTGCCGTTGAGTCGGTTCTGACTCATAGCGACCCTACATACAACAGAATGAAACACTGCCTGGTTCTGCGCCATCCTGACAATCGTTGTTACGCTTGAGTCCATCATTGCAGCCACTGTGTCAATCCATCTCATTGAGGGTCTTCCTCTTTTTCATTGACCCCCTACTTTATCAAGCATGACGTCCTTATCCAGGGACTGGTCCCTCTTGACAACATGTCCAAAGTGTGTGAGATGAAGTCTCACCATCCTCACTTCTAGCAAGCATTCTGGCTGGACTTCTTCCGAGACAGATCTGTTCATTCTTTCGGCAGTCCATCGTATATTCAATATTCTTCTCCAACACCGTAATTCAAAAACATCAATTCTTCTTCAGTCTTCCTTATTCACTGTTCAGTGTCTTAGGCTGGGTTCTCTAGAGAAGCAAAACCAGTAAAGCTTATAAATATATATATATAAATTTATATCAAGGGAACGGCTCACGCAATTGTAGAGGCTGGAACGTCCCAAGTCCGTGGATCAGGATAGAGGCTTCTCCTGATTCATGTAGCTGCAGGGGCTGGCAAACCCAAGATTGGTAGGTCGGAGAGCAGGGTTCCCACTCACAGGCTATGAAGTTTGATGAATCCCAAGATCAGCAGATAAGCTGATAATTCGAGTCCCAAGAACTGGAGGTCAGACGAACAGGAGGCGGCTGCAGGATCCAGAGTAGGCAAAAACCAGAACGTCCACTTATAATACAGCTGCAGGCCACAAGCCCAAGGAAACTCCAGCTTTCACATGCATGTGAGGCAACTGAAAACACCATGGCTTGGGTCAGGCACACCTTAGTCCTCAAAGTGACGTCTTTGCTGTTGAATACTTTAAAGAGATCTTTTGCAGTAGATTTGCCCAATGCAGTGCGTCATGTGATTTCTTAACTGCTGCTTCCATGGGCGTTGATTGTGGATCCAAGTAAAACGAAATCTTTAACAACTTCAATCTTTTCTCCATTTATTATGATGTTGATTATTGGTCAGTTGTGAGGATTTTTGTTCTCCTTACGTTGAGGTGTAATCCATACTGAATTTCTTCCCATTTATTTAGATCCTCTACGATTTTTTTCAGCAATGTTTTACAGTTTTCAATGTACACGTCTTTCACCTCCCTGATTAAATTTATTCCTAGGTATTTTATTCTTCTAGATGATATTGTGAATAGAACAGTTTTTTTAATCCTTAATCTATAGATAACTGATTTTCAACAAGGGTGCTAAATCCATTCAAGGGGGAAAGAAGTCTCTTCAATAAATGATGCTGGGACAACGGGATATCCATATGCAAAACAATAAAGCTGGACCCTATCTATTACCATATATAAAATTAACTCAAAATGGATTAACAACCTAGATGTAAGAACTAAACTATGAAACTCTTAAAATATAGGGGTAATGCTTCAGGATAAACTTTTAGACAATGGATTCTTAGATATGATACCAAAAGAATGAGCCAAAAAAAAAAACAAAAGTAGATAAATGGAACTTCATCAAAATTAAGGATTTTTGTGCAACAAAGGAACTTATCAACACAATGAAGAGACCACCTACAGAATGGGAGAAAATATTTGAGAGATGTATCTGATAAGGGTTTAGTATCCAGAATATATAAAGAACTCCAACAACTCAACAACAAAAAGACAAACAATGCAACTAAAAATTGGCCAAAGGACTTGAATAGACAGGTTTCCAGAAAAGACATACAAATGGCAATAAGCACATGGAAAGATGCTCAGGGTCATTAGGGCAATGCAAACCAAAACCACAATGAGTTACCACCTCACACCCACTAGGATGGCTATTACTAGAAAAACAGAAAACAAGTTTTTTTTGGCCAGGATGTCCAGAAACTGGAACCATCATCCATTGCTGGTGGGATTGTAAAATGGTACACAGCTGCTATGGAAAATAGTTTTGGCAGTTCCTCAAAAAGTTAAACACAGAATTAACCCTATGATGTAGTGATTACAATCCTAGGTATGGATCCAAAAGAACTGAAAGCAGGGACTTAAACAGATACTTGTACACTAATGTTCATTTCAGCATTATTCACAATAGCCAAAAGGTGGAAACGACCTAAATGTTCATCAACAGATTAATGAATAAACAAAATGTTGTTCATAATACAATGAAATAATTATTCAGCCATAGAAAGAAATGAAGTCCTAACATGGACAAACCTTGATAACATTACACTGAGTGAAATAAGGACAAATATTGTATGATCTCACTTATATGAAATATCTAGAATAGGCAAATGCCTAGATACAAAAGTTTATTAGTGGTTTACAGGAGCAGACGGGAGGGGGAAAAGGAGAGTTGTTGTTTACGGGGTATACTGTTTCTGTTGTTGTTAGCTGCTACAAGTCAATTCCGACTTACGGTGACCTTATGTGTACAAAGTAGAACTGCTCCATAGGATTTTCAAGGTTGTGACCTGTCGGAAGCAGATCACCAGGTCTTACTTCTGAGGCAACTATGGGTGGGTCTGGACCACCAATCTTTCAGTTAATAGTCCAGCACTTAACCATCTGCACCCAGGGGCTCCATTTTTTGCTTAAGCACTCAAAATATTGGTAAAACTATCAAGACACTACTAAATTTAGACATTTTCCTTGGAATACTAACTTCTTAAAATAAAGAAGACTGAAACGGAGCTAAAGAAAATTGTTCCTGTATAGAAGACATTATCATAATATATTTTAGCTATACCCTTTTTAATTCTCTCTTTGTGATTAGAACAAGAGAATCTCAGGTTCACAGCTCTGGTATTAATCAGCTGTGTAACTTGGGTAAATTACTTTACTCTCTGAATCTCGGAAATTCCATGTGTAAAATGGGAGTAAAAATACTTACTTCTTAGGTTATTGGGAAGATTAAACCAGATAATGTAACTGCAACTTCTAACATAAAAAAAAAAACCACTACCGTTAAGTCGATTCTGACTCATAGCGACCCTATAGGACAGAATAGAACTGTCCCATAGGGTTTCCAAGGAGTGCCTGGTGGATTCAAACTGCCGACATTCTGGTTAGCAACCATAGCTCTTAACCACTACACCACTACTTCTAACATATTGCTTGGTAAATGAAAGCACTCAGCATATAAAAAGAAAAAAATCCCACTACCATGAGAACTCCAGACCTATAAGCAGTTATATAAATTGTCAGAAGATCTTAAGCAACATGTCCTACATTAGATAGAACTAATATCTCTGCTTTGTCATTAACAGTTACCTGCAAGATTGTCAAGCATGAAATTCAGTAGCTTTCGGGTTCCATCTGGGTCCTGGTATAAGTTGAGAATATCCTGTGATAAAGGATTGCCTAAAGCAAAGGGTAAAAATAAAAACTATTTAAGACTTAAAATTGTATATGATAAAAAAAAAATACACTATAAAATTTAAAATACTAATTTTATAAATTAAGTTTTGCCATATTTAATCTAGTCATATATTTTAAGAAATTATATGAATTTGAAGAAATAGTCTCTTTATAAAGACAGTGGAAAAAAAACTTCAAGAGTTATACTGTGTATCTAAAATTTAAGAGCCCTTTGGGCTTGTCAAACTCAAAAACACATATTAATCATTGCCAATTCTGAAGAAATATCACAGCCTGACTCGAGGCAACTCTAAAGGTTTTACATTTAATTTTAAAGACACAGCATTCTAACTGAAAGACAAACAGCCCTACATGAGAAAGAATAAATGAGATTTCATAAAGAAGAGGTAACTTCTCTAATTTATATTACTATATATGGGAGAAGTGAAAATATTCAAGTGAGAAGAAAACCTGTTACCAAGATGAATTAACAAAACGTGGGAGGAAAGTAAGAATTTTGTTTTGACAGTGATCAGGGATATCTGAGCACTACTACCTATAGATTTATCAAATATCAAAAACAAGCAATAAAGTTAACAGACTTTTTATTCCCTTAAGAAATAAAGAAGAGGGTTCGTTAAGATAAGCTTGCAACACAGACTTTCAAACAGATTTGGAAAAAAAAAATTGAACTTGTAGAAATAAGGGTTCTAACTGCTGAAACAAAAACAAAAATTTACAATACAACAGACAGACACCAGAATGGCTAAAATTAAAAAACACTGACCAACCAAGTGTTTGAAAGACTGTGAGGTTATCTGACCTCTCATACATTGCTGGTAGGAAGTGTAAAAAGGAACAGCTATTTCCCAAAGCTGGTTGATAGCTTCAAATTACCTAGAAATTGGGAAAAGGAAACTTCCCGGGGGTGACACAAATCTTGACAAAGTGAAGGCCACACAGATATATACCTTTGTCAAAATTCATCAATTTGGATACTTAAACATCTGGATGTTTTGCTGCATGTCATTATAAATCAATAAAGTACTGGGGGAAAAAAGCAGCTTGGAGATCAGCAGAACTATAGAAAGGAGCACAGAAAGCAGAGCCTTCTCAGTTTCAAAGGGTAGGGCCACGTTCTCCTGGATCCCAACTCGGTTCCGGAGTGTGGGGCTGCAGTTAAGGTATGCCAGGTGGAGGGGGCCACTGCCTGAAGATGAGGGGTGGGGCTTTCATGCACAACAGGGAGAAGAACGGGGCCTGCCAGGGCCGAGGGAGTATGTTAGCCACTGGACTAGGAGAATGGGGCCACCTAAAGCCAAGGGAGCACAGCTGCCATCCCAGAGGGCCTGGAAGGCAGAGCTGAAGCCCAAGGCTGAAGAATGTCCACCTAGAACCTAGACAGCATAGCCAACACCCAGAGACTGGAGGGCAGGGCCATTGCCTAGATGGTCTCAGAGAACAGAGGATTATTTTCAAGCCTTGAGAGCTAATTGTTCTGCTGGGTTTTGGACTTCCTTGGTGCCTGTTATCCCTTCTTTACCTCTAATTTCTCCAATTTGTAATGGAAATGTCTACCTTGTGCCTGTTCCACCATTGTACTTTGGAAACACATAACTTGTAATCTAGATATTACAGGTTCACAGATGAAGAAGAATTTTGTCCCAAGATAGAATATGCCTAAAGTCTCACTCATATTTGATTTATATGATTCAGAAGATGAGATTTTGGACTTGGAATTGATTTAAGACTCCGGGGACGATGTGATGGGGTATGTTCTGCATGTGGGAAGGATATGAATTCTGGGGGGGGCCAAAGGACAGAATGTTGTGGATTGAACTGTGTCACCCAAAAATATGTGTTGTAAATCCTAACTTCTATGTCTGTGGTTAAAATCCCATTTGGGAATAGGCTGTCTTTGTTATGTTAATTAGACAGGACTAGTGTAGAGTGTATCTTGAGTCAATCTCTTTTGAGATATAAAACAGATTAAATGCAAGTGAGCAAGCAGAGATGGGGGAAGAGAGATGCCAGGCCACATGAAGGCTGCCCAGGAGCAGAAGCTCAAAGACACAAGGACCTTCCTCCAGAGCCGATAGAGAAAGCCTTCTCCAGAGCTGGCATCCTGAATTTGGACTTCTAGCCTCCTAAACTGTGAGAAAATAAATTTGTTTGTTAAAGCAACCCACTTGTGGTATTTCTATTATAGCAGCACTAGGTAACTAAGAGAATATACAAAGTTTACTGAAGGATTTCATTTTATGAAAATACACTGCAGTATAAAAAACTAGAGAATACCAAAGAAAAACGGAAGATTTCAAAACCAGATGGAGAGAAAAGAACCAATCACTTCCAAAGACTACAAATGAGAATGACATCAAACTACAAAAGCAACAATGGAAGCTGGAATACAGTGGAATAATATATTCAAACAGTGCAAGATTTTATTGTAGACTTCAACACTACTCTCTGTCACTGATAGAGTACAGAAAAACAGTAAGGATAAAAAAGACCAGAACGACACCGTCAACCAACTTAGCTGAACTAACATTTACATAATACTACAATCAAAAATAGGAGAATATACATCCTCATGAAGTGCACATGGAACACTCAGTAGTATAGACCATATTCTATGCCAGAACAATAGTAGCTTATTTAAAAGAAAGGAAATCATACAAAGCATACTGTCTGACCACAACAGATTAAAACTAGAAATCAATAACAGACAGGTATCTGGAAAATTCCCAAATCTTTTGGGATTAAACATAATACTCCTAAATAATTCATCAATCAAAGAGGAGTCACAAGGGAATTTAGATGTCAGTTCTCCCAAAACTGATTTATAAATTCAACACAATCTAAATAAAAATTCCAGCAGGATATTGTGCACAAATCACAAGCTGATTCTAAAATTTATACGGAAATGCCAAGCATTTAGAAGCATCAAAACAATTTTGAAAAATAAGGACACAGTTGGAGGACACATAGTACCTGATATCAAGGCTTACCAAAAAGCTACCATAGTCAAACATTTTGGTATTGGCATAGGTCAATGGAACACAATAGTGTCTAGCAATAGACCCACACATATATGATCAACTGATTTTTAACAAAGTTCCAAGTGCAATTCAATGTAAAAAGTATAGTCGTTTTAACAAATAGTGCCAGAATGTTTGATGTGTATATGCAAAAGAATGAACTTTGCACGATACACAAAAATTAATTCAAAATGGACCACAGACCTAAATGTAGAACGTAAGACTTGTAGAACAAAATATTCAAGAAGTCAAAGACTTCTTAAATGCAACACCAAAGACATGATTCATAGAAGAAAACAACTGATAAAAATGGACTTTATGTTAAGAAAATAAACATACAAGTCACAGACTGGAGAAAACATTTGCAAAATACATATCTAAAACTAGACATGTACAAAGAATATATAACGAACTCTAAAAACTCAATAATCAGAAAAAAAGCAAACCAGTAATAAAACTACACGAAGATTTGAACATATATCTCACCAAGGAATATAGTATACACATGGCAAACAAGCACATGAAAAAGATAGAATATCACTAGTTATTAGAGAAATGAAAACTGAAACCACAATGAGATATTACTGCAGCCCATGAGAATGGTGAAAAAATATATTAATAATACCACGTGCTAGCAAGTATGTATAGCAACTCCCTTATACTTTGGTGAGAATGCAAAATGATACATCCACTTCAGGAAACAGTCTAGCAGTTTCTTATAAAGTTTAAAATACACCTACCATACAACTCAGCAATCCCACCCCTAGGTGTACCAACCCATTAACCAAACCCGCTGCTGTTGAGTAGATTCCAACTCATAGCAACCCTACAGGACAGGGCCTCATGGGGTTCCCAAGGCTGTAATCCTTATGGAAGCAGACTGCCTCATCTTTCTCCTGAAGAGTGGCTGGTGGGTTCGAACCACCAACCTATCAGTTAGTAGCTGAACGCTTAACCACCGCACCACCACGGCTCCTTGGGTGTTTAACAAAGGGAAATAACTTATTTCACCCAGGAATTTGAAAAAGAATTTTTATAGTGCTTTATTCCTAACTGTCCATAACTGGAAACAACTCATACACCCTTCAATTTGTGAATGGATGAAAATCTCTGGTATATTCATACAATGGGATAGCTCAGTAACAGAAATCAGTGAACACGCAACAATATGAATGAATCTCAAATGCATTATGTCAAACAAAAGAATCCAGACTCAAAAAGCTAGATATTATGTTTCCGTAATAGGGCATTCTGGAAAAGTAGCTACCAAGGGTTGAGAGCAGGAGGAGGTGCTGAATTCAATGAGCCCAAAGGAATTTTGGTAGGTGATGAAATTGTTGTATTTCTTGATTGCGGTGATGGTACGTGACTTCATACATCTGTAAACATTTACTGAATTGAACTTCACTACATGTAAATGATACTTTAATTAAAAAGTTGCTAAAATAAATTTTACTGTGTTGGTGTTAGGTGCCTTCGAGTCAGTTCTGACTCATAGCGACCCTATGTACAACAGACCGAAACACTGCCCAGAGTTCTGCTCCACCTTCACAATTGTTTGTTTGATCCATATGTGAAATAAAGTACTGCTTTACACTTTAGTACATAAATTCTAAATAACTGAAAAATATATGAGAATTGCTTTTACTTATGCGCTTTCTTCCATAGAATTGATACATTTTGGATTTTTCTTTTAAGTGACTTAAGAGAACTCTTCCAACTTTCTGGATTTGTCATTGTCTATAGTTTTTTAAGGAACCCTGGTGGCACAATGGTTAAAAGCTCAGTTGCTAACTGAAACATCAGTGGTTGGAATCCATGAGTCGCTCCACAGGAGAAAGATGTGGTAGTCTGCTTCTGTAAAGATTACAGCCTTAAAAACCCTATGAGGCAGTTCTATTCTGTCATACAGGGTCACTATGAGTCGGAATCGACTTGACGGCAATGGGGCTTTTAAAAACA